ATATATATATAAATCACATTCCTTTTCAGCCACATAAAGGTTGGAATTTGGATTTGATGGCAGCACCATCGCTGTGTTTCACGTGTCAAAGGAGCAAATCAGTTCTCAACTACATGTTTCTTCTGACCCCTTGGACTGATGCATAGCTGTAATAGTACTAAAATCAAATGAAACCTCCCCAAAAAAAGTGTTTTAAATTAAATCAGTGTGCTTGCCTAGCATGATGTGAACAGGAGCACCCCTTTTTTTCACGTCAGCTCCAGTGCTGAGGGAGATGGCAAACCATCTGGTGATATCCTGGGATTAATTTGATGTAAATCATTATGATACACAAGCAAAATTTCAGTAGCTTCAACTTCCACCTGAGTTCTCCAACAATTTTAAGTGGTTTTGGGTTATTTTTGATAGGTGCTCTGGTGAAATTCTGAGTGACTGTGACTTAAGACTACAGTATACTCATCGTGGGAGATAAGGAAGCAAGTTTTAATGCTTGTCTGTAAAAATGAGGAAGCAAACCAAACTCCCACTATTTAATTTCTTGTCTGTTTTTTAACTCTCAGCAAAACTCACCATTAACTGCTGAGCTCTGTGTACCTGACTTGAAAAGAAAGAGAATATTTTTCCTTACTGCTTGAAAGGAAAAGTTTATAATAAAGGCAAGGTTTAAAAACACAGCTGCTGTTACTATTTCTAAATCTTCTGGAATCAGAGCCTGCTGGGTTGCAGCTGTATATTTTAGGAATAGATCTGCTTCATGGATATTGTCTGAAGCTGCTGAACAAGGTTGACAAACAAGCTTTTGCTGTGTGGGATACTGAATCCTTTTCCAAACCTGCTGTTGTAGACATCTGGCATTTTAAACTTCCTGGGAGATTGGTTCTGTCCTTGAATGAAGGACAAATGTCACACACCAGTAGGTTCCTGTATCTTTGTTTTTGATATCACTGGTTTATTTACATGATTGACCAACGTGCCTTGTGCTCTTCAAGTCATAAATAAAAGCTCTGTCTTGGATTCTACAGCCTGAAAACTGTATTATGTTGACTGTACAAACTGTAAGATATTACTTCTGGTGTAAGGGGAGGGGGGAAAAAAAAAGGGGGATTTAAGAAACATGTGAAATGAAGTTTACAGTAACACCCTATGACTACTGGATTGTCATGGGGAGTTGGGTTGACTACATGTTTTCCTTTTCACGTTGGCAGACTTGCAAAGCTCACTGCAGCAGTCCTACTGGCTAAAGATGTTCCTGTATACTTCTTTTCCACCTATGTCCCTACACCCTTTGTGGTGAGTCATCTTTTCTATTGTTGAACCATGCAGTTAAAGGGAGTATTTGAAAGGTGACTAAAAATGTGAACTAGCAATTTGTCTTCTCAAATTCCAGTCTTGAAACAGAAAAACAGAGGCTGCTTGGTACACTTGCCTCTTCAAGGAGGCTGTAATAAGAACGTCACTGAATTTTTCTGTATGCAGACAGTTGATAAAATCACATTTCTCCTTAGGCTTTGCTCTGTTAGTTACAGCTGAAGCATTCTGCTGTTCTTTTCCTCTTTGCTTAAGCACCTGAGTGACATAAGGGCCAAAGATTATATTTATGTATGTGTGAATGCATACACGTGTATAGACACTGCATGTCTTTGGATGTAAGACTTGCACGGCTCAGAGTGGAAGACATGAAGGATTGCCTCTGCTTTTAATATCTCAAAAAAACAGAGCTTTTTCTTGCAGGGTTTTAAATCCTGTTTTTTTTTTATTCTGCAAGCTTTTCTAGTGTGCTGTGTATGCTGCAGATCTTGTTTCGAGGGGAGGATTGAAAAGACTGGATGCTTTTTAGCTGGAAATACCTGTAACTTGTTTTTCAACAAGCCTTTTGGTGAATTCCTTCATTCTATTTCAACCTGTTTTCTCTTTCTCAAACACTGGTGTAATCTGAGTGTTGACTTTTGGTTGACCAGTTAACAATTGTGTTTGTAATAATATTTCTACACAATAGAATAGAACCAGCTTTCTCTCTATTTCCAGCTACAGGAAACAGAATGATGAGCATTTGTACGTGCCATTTTCAAATAAACTAGTGGAACATTAAGAGCCATTTCTCCTGTAGCATCTTATTGCATTAACTGTCCTAATAATATAATGTTATTTGGTGCCAGCTGCAGAACTCTTGGCTAAATCAACATTTCTGTGTTTTCTTTTAGCCCTACGCTGTTCAGCAGCTCAAAGCTGTGGCTGGTGTGATGATCACAGCATCCCACAACAGGAAGGAGGACAATGGATACAAGGTAAGGCTTGAAGTTGAAGTTCATAAGGGCAATTAATGACAAAACAAGGGGAAATGGGTTTAAGCTGAAAGAGGGGAGGTTTAGATGAGATATTAGGAAGAAGTTCTTCACTGTGAGGGTGGTCAGACACTGGAACAGGTTGTCCAGAGAAGCTGTGGCTGCTCCTCCCTGGAAGTGTTTGTGGCCAGGTTGGATGAGGCTTTGAGCAACCTGGTCTAGTGGAAGGTGTCCCTGCTGCTGGCAGGGGGGTTGGGACTGGATGAGCTTTAAGGTCCCTTCCAACCCAAACCATTCTATGATATGATTCTATGATAGCACATCCCAGCCAGCTGCTTTCCAGTATTACCTGTGTGCCTTTGGCATTTGGCTTCTTCTGGAGTATGTGTGTGTGTACATTAGAAGGAGAAATTATTTCAAGTAATTAATCCTCCTATAACCTTCTGAATTACACACAATTTCTTCTGTAACCAGAACTTAAGACCATAATGCTTGTGTATTGTGAGCACAAGTCTGTTGTGACATTCCACAGAGTCTAATCAGCAGCTGAAGAAATGCTTAAGCAATTTATTACGTGTTCACTTCTTAGACTTAAAAGTGAGTTTAAAAATAAGCTAGAACTTAGGTGAATTAGACAACACACAGCAGGTGAATGTGCTGAAATTGTTGATGGTTTAATAGTTGATTAATAAAACATTGTCATAGTGTGTTGCTCCCTGTAAGGTCGTTTTTCTGGGCATCGGGAGAGGGGCAAGTGGCTACATTTGAAAGCTTGGAACAGTATAACCATGTATAACAGCAAATGTTGCTTATGCAGGTGCTATACTTAGGAAGAAGCTATTATGCTTGTGTCTTCTGATATAAAACATTTTACTTTTCATAGAATCATAGAGAATGGTTTGGGTTGGAAGGGACCTTAAAGCTCATCCAGTTCCAGATACCAGGTCTAGTCATCTAGATCATGTAGTTCCTTTTGCCAGGATATTGGGTTTTTTCCTAGTCTTTCACAAGAATTGTTTTATCTTTCACTGTTTCCCCTGTGAATTCAGCAGGTTCTGAAGGTTTTGGACAATTCTAACCAAACTTAATAAACCTTTTGAAGCTACTGAGTACCTTTGGGTTTCATGAAAGCCAGCGGACAAGAAAAGAGAGTCAGATTGGTCTGAGTAGAAATTCTGCACTGTGAACTCAACCGTGCTATTGGAAACAAACTGTGGGAAAGCTAGCATCTTAATAATTCTTCAACAAAGACTTTTTTATAGTTCAGGGTTTGATAGCCTTTCCAACTGAAAGATTAGAGTTGTTCAGTTACGGAAAAACATGTACCTTGGCACACTGCTTATCTGGTTTGATTCCATTTCAAAAACAAGTTGTGCTTCTTTTTCAAAAGGAATGCCAGACTATATAAAGGTAATGTTGGTTTTTTTTTTTTTTTCTGGGACAGTTTGCACAACACTCTCAAATGTAAGTGCTCAGTTTTGGTCTCTCACATCCTGGATAATTTCACTCATAATAGTTGAGTATCAGCTTTTTTGAAAAGAGGTTGTGTTGCTGAGTAGCTGTCATTGCATAACTCAAACCCTAAGCTATATGATTACAAATTATTTTGGAGAATGGAGTCAGTCTCATGCTAGCTTTTTCTGTGTGATTTCAGGAAGCAGGAAGAGGGTAGGTTTAAATTAGATATTAGGAAGAAGTTTTTCACTGTAAGGGTGGTCAGACACTGGAACAGGTTGCCCAAGGAATTTGTGGATGCCCCCTCCCTGGAAGTGTTCTCGGCCAGGTTGGATGAGGCTTTGAGCAACCTGGTCTAGTGGAAGGTGTCCCTGCTGCTGGCAGGGGGGTTGGGACTGGAGGAGCTTTAAGGTCCCTTCCAATCCAAACCATTCAATGATTCTATGAAGTGTGCAGAATCCTATAACTAAAAGAATTTCTGAAGTCAAATAATCTCTGTAAATTAACTATGTCTTGTTTTCCTTAAACTTATCCCCAGGTTTATTGGGAAAATGGAGCACAGATCACCTCTCCTCATGATAAGGAAATTATAAAATGTATAGAAGAGTGCGTTGAACCATGGAATGGCTCTTGGAATGAGAATCTAGTAGACACTAGTCCCCTTAGACAGGATCCTCTGAAGAAAATTTGTGACTGTTACATGGAGGATCTGAAAAAGATCTGTTATCATAGGTATTGTATAAAGCAAAATGTACTTAAATTCTGTTTTTAAGTAAGCTCTGGGTTACACGTGGAAAATGGAGTGCTGACAGATAAACTGAAATAATAAAGCACAGGATGCTGCCATACCTTTATTATTATTATTATTATTATTATTATTATTATTATTATTATTATTATTATTATTATTATTATTATTATTTTGGGGGTGGGAGTATAGGGCATGGGCTGTCTTCCAGAAGTTTTGGACCATCCCATAGTGATTTTTATCATCACAAATCAGCGACTTCATTTCTGTTGTTACGGTTCACAGATGCTGGGTGCTTCACTGTGCCACAGACATCACTGTCTGCTCGAGGTCATTGCTCTGTGCTCTGCATCATGGCAATAATTTTAGGGCATCTCCCCATTTTCTCAGCCCATCCCTTCTCTGATGTGTCATTAAATTAGATGGTCACCATCATTAGGACTCGACCATACTCCTTGACAGTAAAGCAGCCTGCCTTGGACACTAGGCTAATAATGAAGCACCCTGATGTGAACCATTTTATGCAAATTAATATGCTCAGAGTGTTCTGAATAAAATGCAGAAATTCAGAGTAAAGGTGAGGTGTACAGGCATGGAACAGAGGTGAGAAGATGAAGTTTAAAGGTTAGGTGAAGCAGAAGACAGGAAGGGGAGGAGGATGAATAATATAGCCAGAGTAAGACCTTCAGGGTGGTCAAAGAGCTCAAGTTTGATGCAGAAATTAACAGTTCATTCTTGGGAGACTTTCAGCTGATTTAGCAGAAGGTAAATATCTCATTTTCTAGGAGAAGCAGCTTTAAACCAGCAAGTTTTAGTGAAAGTCCAAATGAGCATTTTTCAGTCATTCCTTCTTTGAAGTTAATGCAGAAATCAGCAGAACAGTACAAAGGGTCATTGCCTTTTCTTTTGCTTTCCCACGTGAAAGTAGTCTTGTTAAATAACTGAAATCTTACTGACATTCTTTTTTTTTTCATTCTCAGGGAACTAAACATGCAAACAAACTTGAAGTTTGTTCATACCTCGTTTCATGGAGTTGGACACGATTACGTGCAGATGGCTTTCAAAGCATTTGGCTTTCAACCTCCCATTCCAGTACCTGAACAAAAAGATCCAGATCCAGACTTCTCAACTGTTAAATGCCCAAATCCTGAAGAAGGAGAATCTGTGCTGGTATTTTTGTTTCTATTTCATCAGATTTATAGATTTCTATGAACTTTTTTTCCTGTTTGGATATGATAACAGTGGTGAAAAACAAGAAGGAACAGGGAGTACCTGGCTTTCAATGGGCAATCCATGAGAGATTTTTTTTTAACTGGATGTTATATATAATTAAGAAGTAAGACTGTGGGTTTATTTGATTTTTTGTTATTTTTTTTTCCCCCTTCCCTCTCATTCCACCAGGAATTGTCACTGAGGCTTGCAGAGAAAGAAAATGCTAAAGTAGTAGTGGCCACTGATCCAGATGCAGATAGACTAGCAGTGGCAGAACAGCAGAAGTAAGTGATGGGACTTTTTATTTTATCTTTATCTGCAGAAGATACAGTGAAAATGGCAGAATTTCCCCAGATGGTAGATACCTTCAACCCACTCTTTC